GAACAGATAATCCAGATCAGCGATGGATGTGGGAAGGGCAAGGCAGGTCTGTGAAATGGGTAACCCTGTGCAACCCAGCAGTATTTTCCTCTTGTGGGTGTAAGACTGCTAAACATCTCTCAGTTGAGTTTACGACAAGAAAAGGTGAAAAACTCAGTGTGGCATTACTGATGCATCTGGAATAAACGGACTGAGAGACAGCTTGGGAGTTGCAGCAGGAAGGAAGGGGAGCTGCTCAGAGCATACAAAATAGGGAAAATGGCTCTACAGACAAAGGCTGCCTTCTCTGAAAGCGATCGTCCTATATTGGGGAGGGATTTTATTGTTGCAGAGTTCACTTTCAGGAAGGTAGTGTGGATGGAGTTGTCATTGTTAGCCATTTCTGAAAGGTTTCAGCTCTTGTTATTGTTCTGTGGTGTCTCATGGCTGAGTCTGTTCCCTACTGGATGGGAAATTGAATTGAGATATTGAAACAGTGACAGCAGATAACCACCCTTTGTGAATTCAGGAAGGGCAGCTTTCCTCCATGGCTGGAAACCAACAGCAACAACCCCATCAACAGCACTGCCCCCATCTATCCTCAGCACAAGGATGGTGTGCACATATGTTGTGGGAGCACTAGGCATCGTTGTGGGCTGGCAGTCTATCTCTTTATCTTGCTTTCCAACAAGAGAAGCCAGGGAATAATTCCTCTACTGGCTTCTGATGTTCTCCAATGGAAATACTCTGAGAAGCATCAATCTGCAGGACCTTGTTGCCAAGCCCAGAATAACACACAGTGTTAAAAAGAAAGCAGACACAATTTACTCTGTTTTCTTCAGCTTGTGACTCTGCCAAAGTTTAGCTGTGTCTGTCCAGTGTGGGGCATTTTTTCCCAATTAGGGAAGATGTGCTTTGGATTGGATCAGCTGGTGACAAGGGGCCAGTATATTACAAGGTCTGAACCTGCCTGGGGAAGATGTGATGCTCTCTCTTTTCTACATCCTCCATAGGTAACAGAAACTCGGACTGGCCCCCTGGGCTGTAACAGCTATGACAATCTGGACTCTGTGAGTTCTGTCCTTCTGCAAAGCACTGAGAGCAAACTCCACCTGCAAGGTAGGGCACAGACATGAGGGAGATGGTAACGGGGCATGGAGTGGGGGGATGAAATGAGGGAGGGGTGGCCTGTTTTCTAGCCTTTTCCCCGCCTCTGTTTGCTGTGATCCCCTTCTTCACTTGAGTTCCCTGAAGCAGCACTAGTGGCTTCTGATGGCTTTGTATGATGCTCGGCACAGCAGAGCCAGGGCTTGGCAGGGACTGAGCTGAAGGTGCAAGGAACTGCAGACTGGACCCCAGGGAAGTGTCTAGGTGCCCCCTGCCATTGAATTTTGATGGACTTTTGTGTATTATACATACACCGATATAAATAAATGTGACCTTTTCCATTAATACTGAAGGGACGTTCTGTCCGTGTCTCTCTGTGTTCCTCCCAAATTGCTGATTTGCGTAAGAGGTTTGCAGATCAGCTTTTGGGACTCTCTAATGACCATAATCTTTGGGAAAAGTCACAGAGGTTTTGTTCGGATGCTAGAAGCCATGGCTTCAGTCCCAGTTGGGGAGCTAGTCCAGAAGTCAACAGATAGAGGTCATGACTGAATTAATAAATAAATACATGCTGGTTAGCAAGAATTCAACTTCAGTAGAAGGAGGAAATTCACTGGGTGTGTAATTTACTGAGGTTATTCCCAAGTTTTTGACAAAATAAGGAAATGTGGGATTTAATTGCTCATTTGCCCAGATGGTTTTATTTCTGGAATCCTTGTACTTGCACAAATTTTAATTTTTCAGATGAATGGGCTACATTACATCTTCTGCTTTGAGTATAATTTGGCAAGTGCTGTTTTAATCTTGGTTTCACAGAAACTGAGTTTCATTTACTGAGTCATGTTGTGGATGTATTATTATTGTTGTTATTATTTGCCTTTAAAAATAATAGGCAGGTTGTTTTCACTATTCCGGTGATTATCTAAATCACTGAGTTCTGGTTCTTACCTAATTAACAATAAACAAATTGAGGCTTTTTGCATACTGTGATGATGGCTGCTGGTAATGAGAACCCAAGGATGACACATCAGATAACTAGGTAAACAGCTAAATAAGCAGACAGCTCGGTTTATAGGCAAACAAAGTGGTAAGTAGGTGAATCAATAGATCTGTATTGGTTATCTGATCCTACAAGAGAAGAGAAAAAGTGAGATGCCTGGGAGGGGGAAGGAGGTGAAGGAAGAGGCAAGATTTAGGAGACAGAGGGGATATAGGGTGGATGAGGCTGTGATTTCTGATGGGAGCAGACAGAGGACCTCAGGGGTCAGCCACAGTGCAGAGAGGGGCTAGAGCCAAGCTAAGGGAGACGATGAGGGAAGGGAGGAAGGTAAGAGCTCTTCCTAATAGAACAAAGTGACCTTTAAAGCTACACCTGAGTGTTTTCTGCCTAATCTGGAGTGCAGTTCTTGGGATAATTACCCAGGATCCTTCCTCTGCTCTGAGAGGCCTCATTAGGAATTAGTCACAGGGCTGCAGGTAATGGATCATGACCGAGTCTCCTCTGATCTGATTAGCAGCCGAGCATGAGCTGCTGACAGAAATCCATGTTACTACCTTCGTGTCACTCTGGCTCCGAGGCTGGCTCAATAAAAGAGCAGCATCTTCGCGACAGGGAGAATTTCTGTTTCTGAACTCGCTTGCTGCTGCCCAGCCCTGAGAGTCATGGTTTCAAAGATGTGCCCTTTAGGAGATCTGATGGCCAGACCCAGAGCTAAGCTACCTTCATGCCTGTGTGTAGGGTTCGGGAAGGTCAGCCAGCCTGGAGATTTAGGGGAGGACCCGCATGCATGCACAGTGTGGGATGTCTGGTTCTGCACCTGTGGTTACATGGACAGAAAAACATCACTCATTGATAAACCAGTTACCCCTGTGGACCCAGTACGCATGTACCTCTGGGTTAGACGCCTGCCCTGGGGTTTATATACAGGTACATTTGTCACAGTAGCTCAGAAGGTTTCCCGATTTCCTAGCATTACCTGGGGGCAGGTTCCCTGTCCTGTGCATGGGGAGGGCTGTGCGGTGATGCAGCCTCCCTGCACGGGACTGGGGGGTTCCTGTTGTGGGCCAGGATCTCACAGGTGACCACGCTTACTTGCACTTTGCCTTCTCCTGTCCCTGCCACTGGCGTGAAACCGTCCCTTCACTTGTCTCTGCCTCTAGTGTGGCTGATGCACAAGATGCCTGTGCTGCCTGGAAAAGGAGTCAACCAGAGCGGGGGAGGGGAAGATGTTAACAGCTGTACAGCAATGTGGTGGGAAAGTGTCCTAGGCTGAAATTTGCAAATTTGAGCAACACCTAGAAAAGTTTTGGGAAATTAAAATTCCAGAGAAATATCCTCTTGGACAGTGTGACAGTATATGTCAATATTGCAGCATGGCACTATTTCAATCTGTGCTATACATGGTGACATTAAACAGGAAATACTGCATATTGGGTAGTTTGTTACGTCAAATATGGTAATAGAATATTAAAATTTACATTACAATTAACATTAAAGTCTTTGCCAAGATGGGCAGAGCAGTAATGACAACACAAAACATTTCAGCTTTTCAGCGAAACAAAATGAGGAAATACAAAAAATACATTTAGACCTTTCCCTGTCAAAAGTGCTTTTGGAGTCAACATGCTCTCACAAAATGCTTCAACGAAACTGCATTTTCAACAGAGAACTCTTCTATGGAAAATGTTTCAAATAGCTCTAATTTAGAGCTGGGAAAATTTACCTCTTTTAATGCAGGAAGCCTTTTATATACAGTCTAAAGCCAAACATCTCTCTCTAATAGTTTTTCTAGGTGAAATAAGGACATGTTCCCTTTTCATACAGTTCATATTCTGCCTGTAGTTAGCGAAGACAAACCTATACCAAATCTGTGGTGCTCTTAATTTTTAAAGAGGAACTTTATGGTTTGCAGTGTGGCAGAATTCCTCCTTCTGACCAGTAAGTTACCTCCAAAACTGAGATATTCTCCTGAACACTCCCGAACCAGCAAACTTAACCTTCTGCATCTGTTTTAAGCTGCTGATGCTGCTGTGGAGGATGAGACCATTCCTTGTGCACCCTGGCTCGGATTGAGGTGTTCACCCCGTGAAAATGGTCCAGTATCTCTGTCTTTAAGACCAGGTTGCCCCCCCTGCTTGGCTGCTGACATGAGGTTGCTTTATCAGTAGACAACACTGAAAGATTAAAAATAATTTTTAAAATCATATTTTCAATATTCAAATAAATTTCTCAGAGAACAAAATAGCATCTTGGGATGTTTTATTAAGGTCATGGCTGGCAGCAGGGCTTTTCCAGCTAGCATGGCCAGCTGCAAGCTGCTCTGTGGGGCTGGTGTGCTGTTACAGTCGTTGGGACTACAGCTTTCCTGCTTTAAAGGTGGCAACTGAAGGACCCAGAGCAGTGGTCTCAACCAGTATGGCCTTCTTACAATCTCATGTTTGTAAAGATTACCTTAAAAATGATTAATCACACCTCTGCTTTAGCGATAGCTATAATCAACTCAATTTCGGCAATATTTAGTCATGGGTGTGGTATGGAGCTACATATGAATGAGGAGGGTACCAGGACTGAGTGAGATGCTACTGGCCCAGTACTTGTAAAATAACTTGCTAGGATCCAGTCACAAGGATGCTCAATACAAACCCAAAAATGTTGATATGGATCTGCCCTTCTCTGGGTATGATGATAAATGTGTGGGTGTTTTTATACATGCATACATGTATATGTTAAACTGTGTGTGTGTATATGTTAAAGTACAAATGTGAAAGCAGGCATGATTGCATTTCAGTAACCCTAACAGTAATTTCTTCCGCAGGGAAATTCCTAGCTGGAGTTGGAGTTACACACAATCCCTGCAGCATGTTTGCAGTTTTAGTTAGGGCTTTGAGTTTGGTGTATACACTTGTGTTTCGATGAGTAGCTGGATTTGTGTGTCATTGTGTTCCTGATCTGAGCGCATATTTGAATATATGTTGCTTGTTAAATGCTACAGTTAACTGCACGGATCAGAACTGCTTACTTGATTAGAGTTAAGTATTTATAGAAGTGCTTTTTTGAATTGGTGCTAAGTGTCCAGAGGGTCTGATGATCTCTTAAACTTGAGATTATTTCTTACAAGAGAAGGTTATCCTGGAAATATTTTTTTAGAAACCACGAGTTTTATGGGCAAAAAGCAAGCATCCACATGAGGCACTCTGCAGTATAGGATGGGACCATGATGGGACCATGTTTCGTTTTGGAGATTACAGGGTATTCATGTTTCTGCGTGTGCTGAGACACACAATGGATACCCCTTGCAATGGGAAATATTTCCCCTGAAACTTCAGTTGCTTTTTTTACCTTCCAGAAAAAAAAATATTCTCCAAAGCCAGTATCAGTTGTAGCTGGGACCACACAGCTTGTTGGTGCTGTTATCCCAGTTGAAATTCAAAGACAAAATATGGTGAGCTGAAGTGCCTGCGGTCGTTTGGGCCTCATATTCAAAGGCTGAGGCCAAGGCAGGTTGCTCCACCATGAAGCAGAGAGTGGAAAGATTTATTCATGGGACTTGGACCATGAATAAACAGGGTCAATGCACATCAAGAAGTCCAGCCCCCCTCTCCTGTGAGCCTGAAATCTCAGTGAATACTGCAGCCTTCAGGCTCTCCAAACCCCTTTTGTAGATCTCTGTTTTCCAGTAGTGCTGGAATTTCCTTCCATCCTGAAGGAAAGTCGGAGCCTGGCAGGTGGGAGCATCCCTAATGTCAGTGTGAAGGTTTGAAAAGGTACCATCCCTCTGTGATGGTTGCTTCAGATAAATCCCTGAAAGTGGGACAATAGGAACAAAGCTGAGCTTCTTGTTGAGAAACATCTCAGGAAAGACCAAAGAGGCCTCAAAATGCTGGTTCTCCTTAGGCTAGTTTTAAGGTGTTTGCAGGGATGCTGTAGATTCTGGTCAGCCCCTTGCATGTTCCTTCCCATCCCTGCAACAGCACTGCAGAAAAGGCAGCAGGGGCTACGCAGACATAGTGTCTCCAAATGCCAGGCTTGAAATCCTTTCTTGTGCAAGGGTCACAAATGTCTTCTCCAGCTGAGGGTTGCTCTGTGTTCATCCTGCCTGGTGGCTGCCACTGCTCCACGCTCAGCTGTGCATTAGGTCAGACAACAGGGCAGCTCGCTGCCACCGGGCATGGTGCTCACAGAGACCATGCCCTGGCAGTAGCAGGAGGGGAGAGGAAACAGAGGCCCCTGTGCCTTCAACAGCTCCCTGATCCCCCCAAACTTGGGCTTCCAGAGGGGCCTTGTCAAGGCTGAGGTGTCTCCGTGGAACCAAAAGCAAAAGGGTAATGGGGGTCCCGGGGGCACTGCGCACCGCTTTTCTCTTGTCTGAGGTGAACATGACCCATCACAGAGATGGGCCTGAACTCCTGAAAGGAGTCACAGCCCTTCCTGCCCTTCCTGCACATTCTCATCCTCTGAATTATTGTCTTATTTTCATTCCACTCCAATGAGCTGTCAGCCACGGGTACAGTAATTCAGCGCAATAGAAACACAAACAGATGGGTAATTGACCTGCGTGCCTTCATTACACTGGAGTTCAGTGCTGCTGTTCGAGCCATAAACTCCTTTATCTGCCACTGAAATCCCTGGACCTTTCACAAGGAAGGCAAAGCGGGAACAGGCTTCCTGCGAAAGGCTCGCTCCGTTATTGTCATCTCTGCCTCGTGCACCACAGATGCTGACCAAGTCTGACAAGCAGGACTTGCCAGGTAGAAGAAAACAGCTGTGAATCCTCAGGGACATCTGTAGGGAGCCTGGAGATGGGGCTGGAGAAGGACAGGATGGAAAAACATGTGCGCTGTACACAGGGCAAACGCTTAAACTGTTATCGTGTCCTCTGGTGTCTGAGCAAGCGTACACCTACACTAATGCCTGCACAGATGGATGGATACACAAACACTTGCTATGGAGAAAGAGACGTGGGGATAGAGCTCTTGGCTAATGTAAATCTTCAGAGCACCACTGAAATCATTGGCACTAAATCCATTTGCACTTTTATAGGATTTGGCAAGTAGCCTTCCTAGCAGGGAGCAAACTGAAAAGACTCAGGTACCCAACTTCTATATTTATACTGGGCACTTAGCTCTGCAAGGGTCTTTTATAAATCCCTCTTTGTACTATTTTCCTTTCTCCTGTTTTCCTTTCTCTCTTCTTTTCTCTTTCAGTGTGTAGTTTCCTTGTTTCTGTGGTACCAAACCTATTTAGTCTCTCAAAACAGGTCAGAATAGCATAATGCTCATCACTTCTGAACTAGCACTTGGTTGCAAAGTATGAAAAAACCCACACCTGGGAATAAGGAAGGCTTCGCATTTATGTGCTTTGTACTGTACTGGGATCCAGGACTGGGATGAAGAGGATACACTGGGCATTGGGGAGGGGGAAGTTACTTGTCACCTTTCTCCCAGAGAGCAGATGGGCTCTGCTCTCAGCTAACTCACTGCTTTCACTGGAGACAGCAATTTGTACCCCACCTTCCTGACTCTTGACAGCTCCAAGGAAAATATCCCAGCAGCTTTTAATTCCTCAGCATCACTTTCCCAAGCTGTTAATGAAACAGGTTTTGAAAAGATGAACAGGTACCTGAAGTGACTTTTTTGTTTTTTTCTCCACATCCCTGCCTCTTGTTTCTATGCCAGGTCTCCAGATCATCTTCCCTCAGTATTTACAAGAGAAGTTTGTCCAGTCTGCCTTGAGTTACATCATGTGCAATGGCGAGGGGGAGTACATCTGCCGGAACAGCCAGTGCGGCTGCCAGTGTGCGGAGGAGTTCCCGCAGTGCAACTGCCCCATCACCGACATCCAGATCATGGAGTACACACTAGCAAACATGGCCAAGACCTGGACAGAAGCCTATAAAGATCTGGAGAATTCAGGTAACTGAGCAAAACACATTTTCAGATTGATTTATTTCACAGAATCACAGGATGTCAGGTGTTGGAAAGGACCTTGAAAGATCATCTAGTCCAACCCCCCGGCCAGAGCAGAACCACCCAGAGCAGGTCACACAGGAACGCGTCCAGGCGGGTTTTGAATGTCTCCAGAGAAGGAGACTGCACAACCTCTCTGGGCAGCCTGTTCCAGGGCTCTGTCACCCTCACAGTGAAAAAGTTTTTCCTTGTCTTAATGTGGAACCTCCTGTGCTCCAGCTTGCACCCATTGCCCCTTGTCCTATTTCAAACAAAACATGTCATACCAATTAAGAATCTTTTCTTCCCTCAATATAATGCTCCAGTTTGGATAAAAAATAGAGGATACTGAACCCAAAAATGTGATCTTAGTCTTGAGGGAGTGCCTTTTTTCTCTGTTACCTGTACAGACAAAACCACACACCACACATAGTTCTTTGTATAGAGATATTTTCCATGGAAGAATTTGTTTGATTAAAAGATCTTATTTTTCAACTCAGAATCTCTCTTTAATAGTTCTACAGAGAAACTTCCACAATATGAATGATGCAGAAATTGCTTTTCAGATTTGCATGAATGATTTATTCTGCTTTGGTGAAAGGCAATTCACAGAGAGAGAGCACAGGCCAGATGACACCTCATTTGAGATAGAGAGGAGAAGAGAAAATGACTTCTGTCTCCTACAGTGCCGATGTCTGCTGGTGTGAACGTTTCTTTTCTCCCTCCGCTTTCTGCCAGCGTGAGGGTATCAGCAGAGTTTGTTCCACGTTGATGCTGGTAACACCCCTAGCAGGCATGCTGTAATACTTATGTGATGTGCATGCTCAAGGGTTTGAGCTAGCGAAGAGGGCAACAGTATCAGTGCAATAACATCCTTTCCTTTAGCAAATGATCTGCCTACCCTGAAGCCACATGGGCATTAAGCAGAACTTCATTGAGAACTTATCCCTGTGATGACTCTCATCTCTTAGTGTTAGCCAGTTATTTTCCAACACATTTTCTTTAATGATTATTGTCATAACTGTCCATGTTTCCATGTTAGGAAAGAAAACTATGAGGAAGGGACCATCTAGCTCCATTCAAGACACTGAAGAATTCTTCAGAAGTCTTCCCAGCAGCAGTTTCTTTCTTCCTCTTGAAGGTCACCTTAATCCCTTTAATGGTTGAAACAAAGCGGCCTGTGATGTGTCCTCAATGGGCTGTTGAGGACTGCTTCATGCTTCAATATGTGGACCCTGCTGGCATGTCTGCTGTTGCACAGATTCTTATGTCCCACTCATGCTGTCAGCTTGGTGCTCAGCTGAGCAAAGTCAGAGTAGTAGTTAATGGCCCAAGGCTGATGACCGTCTTCACAAGATCCCCCCATATCCTGTGGGTAGCCCCAGGGCTGGGGCAGTTCCCGCAGTAGGTCACTAGCTGAAGAGGTCAGTGGTTTTCTGGGAATTTGTACAGATTCATGGATGGGGTGGGTACACCAGGGCAAATCAGAAAGGTGGATTTCAGAAGCTTCTGCTAGCTCAGTACTACACAAATTAGGATTACTGGCAGTGCCTGCCAGTACAGCTCTGCTACTAGTTGCGTGTTACTAGTTGCTAGTTCTGGCACAGGTTCTTCACAGAAGATGCTCAAGAGCCACGTATTGGCCACCACTCATCAAACCGCTTTACATTCCCAGGAGATCTAACCCAGACACTTAGAAGGTGAGAGCCCTATGAAGAGAGAAGAATTACAGTCCCACAGTGATTGTTTTACTGTTACCTTCTGTACTTGTTGCACTTGATCTAAGCAAAGACTGTGGTAGATAATTATATTCAGTCTCCCTCCCCTTGAGATTTCAACAGGGGAAGGTGTTTTTCATTTGCCGTGTTAAAGTGACGCAGCGCAGCGCAACGCTGTGCTGTAGCCGTATTCCACCCAGGGCTGGAGGCTTTTCCGGGCTAGATGGAGTGATTATCTTTATGTTTAAAGCTGCTGCATCTCATTCATCACTTTGTTGCATCATGCGTGAACTTCTCCTTTGAGATGAAGGTTGCTGTCACAAAAGACTATAGTATTAGTATTTTGCTTCTTTGTTTTAATAAATATTCCCAATAACTAGAGGATTCTTCATTATGAACGGCAGAAACGAAATCTCTAATGGCATCTGAAGGCTTTTCCAATAAAGTGGGCTGAAAGGCACAGGAGCGCTCTGAAAGCAAATACCGTTTGCACAGGAAGCTGCTGATAGCCTAAAAGATACATGTTCTGTTTCTGATCTGTGTTGGATTCCTATGTCAATTTGAAAAAATCGTGTGGGGCAAATCAAGAGTTGGTGTGATTTGGGATAGCATCTTCAAAGTCAAGGAGGCTGCAGCGAACTGATGCTGCTTTAAATCAGCTCAGAAGCTCTCTTAGTCCTATGCTTCATTGCTCATGCATAAATTGAGAAAAATAACACTGCCTTATTCTTGGCATTTTAGTATGGCTGGCCAAAAAATTCTGCATCAGAACTGTGATTCTGCATTTTAAAACAGCCTTTTGATTAAAAGTCATGGGGTTTTTTTGCAGTACTATTGCTTTCTGATGAAAATGTGTTGGGTTTTTTTAACTGAAAAGACAAGCACTGGAAAAATGAAAATTTCATCTTTGAAAGACATTTGACGTGGCCATTTCACTGTGATGCCACCATTCTTCTCCAGAGGCTGGACTCTGCCTTGTACCACCTGTGGTGATGAGTCATTGCCATGGGAATGCCTGCAGGGACCGGGTGACACAGCAAAAAGAGCGTGTTGTGTTATGGGAGATGTAGTCCTAGCCATCATCAACATCTTCTGTGCAGATAAAGAAAATAAAAACAAATGCAATCAGACTTACTAGTTAATTGGCAATTCCCAGGGTTAAGAATGAACTGTTTGCAGAAAAGTACAAGGTTTAGCACAATGCAGCCAATAGTCTTGGTTGGGGCCTCCAGGGATAAATATAAATAAATAATGAAGAAACTATTCTTTTTAGAAAGTATTTTCCTTTTTCACCCTTTTTTTAAAAAAAAAAAAACAAACAACAACAACCCCATCCAGCTTTTATTTTACCGGATTTCTTCGCTCATTTGTTTTTCCCACAGCGTTGCACTGCAGTATCAAAATGTGCATACCGCACTGAAATTTCTCCCTTACCCGTCTCTATGAAAAATGTAGCGCATTCATCATCAGAGGGAAAAGAGCTTGTTCTTTTGCACAAACAGGCTTTTGAGGAAATTGATTTATAAGGGGCGGGAAGCAAATGCAAGGCTTTTACTGCTGAAAGGTACCAGGAGTAACCAGCATGGTCAACAGAAGCAATTATGCATGATGATAGTTTCAGAGAACCACTGAACAGGAGAGAATCATTTTTGGGGAGGAGAAGGGCACTGAAAGCAGCGTTGCAAATAGAGTGAAAACCTGAGAGATGATTAAAAAAAAAAATACATATCTCAGTTGTCTTTGGGGAAGAAAGGAGGCAAGCCGATGTCCCATGTCTCTTGATAGTGCAATGATAATTATTTTTATAAGGTGCTCAGTTTCACCATGTGACGAGTAGGACATTGGTTCACCATCTATGTAATGATGGTACTGACTAATGCATAGATATTCTTAGGCAGTTAAGCATGAACTGCAAGTTGCTGAATAATAGGAAATCTATTATGCAAATACAGATAAGCTTGGTGTGATAGGTTGTAAATTATCTGGTCTGATTTTCTGCAATAATTCTATGGATTATTTCTTTTTTTGAAAAGATATCAGCCTTTACAAGCTTTCATTTTTTGCCTTTTTTTGGCTATTGTCCTCTTTTCCTTCTGAAAATGGGATAAAGGAATTTTAAAAAAGCAGGATTAGGAAAAGAAGAAAAATAATGTAGATTTTTTCTACATTATTTTGTAGATGGAAACTACAAAATGTAGTTTTGGAAAAGGGAAAGATGGCTGTATTTCTTGTTGGATACACTGTGAGGTTTATGGCAGGGCTGTAGTCTAACCTCCCTTTAGAAGCCCGACTACCACGAGCACTGGATCAGGTCAGCCATAGTTTTGTCTAGTAGAATCTAAAATGAGAGATTCTTCTATGTCACTGGGCAGCATGTTCCAGTTCTGCATTATCTCCACGTGAAGAAGTTTTTCAATAAATCACTTGAATTTCTCAAGCTGAAAACTCTCTATTCCTCCTTGTTATATCACCTGTCTCTAATAAGAAGAGTTTGTCTCCATATTTGTGAGTCCCTTTTAAGCAGTGGTAGGCTGTAATTGATTGCCCCTTGGCATCTGCTTCACCAGATTGAACAAGTGCAGCTCCCCCCACCTGGCCTTGTAGGACTTGTGCTCTGGGCCCTTGACATCTCGGTAGCCCTCAGCTGTGCCCTCCCCAGTTTCTCAGCACCCGTCTTTAGTTGGATGTCCCTAAAGCTGGCAGAGAAATGCAGGTACAGCCTCAGTAGTCCCAAGAAGAGAGGAAGATTAACTTCCCCAGCCTACTGGATTTAGCCCAGTATGCAGTTTCTGTTATTTCCAGTAAGGACATAGTGTAGACCCACCTTCAGCATGGTGCCCACCATATCCCCCGGGACCTTTCTAGCAGCTGTTATTCAACTGGTGGTTTCCAAGCCTGTACTGATGGGGTTGTTCTCTCCTGGTGCAGAACTTTGTTCCTTTCTTTATTGTACTTTATGGGGGTTTTTGTTGGCTCACTCCTCGTGTTTCTCAAGGTCTCACTGTCAAACACAGTTTTCTGGTATCAAAAATTGGGTTATTTTCAAATAAGAAAGTCAGAACCATCTGTTTTTTCCATGTGAGGATGTCCCAGCCTGGTAATCAGAGTCTAAGCAAACTATACTTCTCAGTTAGGAAGAAAGGGGTGATCATAAACAGAAACAGGATCAGATTTTCTGTTTCGTGAAATGTTTTTTTCATTCTTGAACAACATCAAACAGAAATGAAGTCATCACAAAACAACCTTTAACAACATGTTTTTGGATCAATTAGATTTTTTCCTTTGGCTAAAATTGACACATTTTGTTCTAACCTTTGCCCTGAGAACTATTTTATTTTGTTTTCATTGTTACATAAAGCAACTCATTTAACTTCAAAAGAAGTTAAATGAGAAAAAAGAATGAGAATGCTCTTTTTAAAAAATGAGAAAGCAGGACATTTTAACACAAATCAAATTCTTCCTCTGGGGATTTTTTTAAAGCTTTTTTTTTTTTTTGCCTTTTTTTTTTTTTTCTAAATGACACAGCCAAAGTGATTTGACTTCAACAAACAGCAGCATTTTTGGAGCAGCTGAAAAACAATTTGAATGAGAACTTTCTAACTGACAATGATTGCAACTCTCTGCTTTTTGTTCATAACCTCTAGACTATAATCCCATGCTCCAGGGAATTTGCTCTCTTTTTTTTCCTCCACCCTACACACATTAACCATAGTGTTTAACCCTAATACTCTCCAGGTTTTATTACCCATATGGGAGCAGCAACAGCCATGGAATTAGTGGGCTTCCTGAGGCAGAATGACAGACCAGTGAGTTAACGGACATCATCTTCCTTTAGCAGAGCTCTGATGGCCTCAGACATCATTGCTGTTTCTCCATCCTGCTAATGAAAAGCTTTGTAACTTCATTACATTTCAGAAACCTCTGTATTTGTCCACATTCTTGTGTGTTCTAGATGAGTTTAAATCCTTCATGAAAAGGCTACCTAGCAACCACTTCCTGACCATTGGGAGCATCCACCAGCACTGGGGGAATGACTGGGATCTGCAGAACCGCTACAAGCTGCTGCAGAGCTCCCTGGAAGCCCAGCGCCAGAAGATCCAGCGCACTGCCCGCAAACTCTTTGGCCTCAGTGTCCGGTGTCGGCACAATCCTAACCACCAGCTGCCTAGAGAAAGGTACCTTCATCCTTCATTGGGGAGGGGTGTGGTGTGATGGGTGACTGCTGGAACTGCTCCTGGGCTTGGACCTAAACCCAGCTGCCTAAGTGTTTGGATATAGGGTGTGCTAACACGGAGGTTTGGGGGAAAATGGTAAAGTCTGGGAGTGAGTTGAAATTTCTGGAGCTGTAAGTAGCCTTTATCACATACCTAAGCATATCCACATCCCTTCTGTGTGGTCTTACCTACACAGGTGAAGGGCGCACACTTATTCCGTGGTGTTCTGCGAGAATATTACAGGGCTGACATCAGAGAGCCAAGGAGTCTAAGCTGCTGTGTAAGAGGTTTTGCCTCATGTACCACAGCCAAGTTTTAAGCCTCCATTTGCTGTTGAAGTGGACATATGGAGCACGAGATGCTTCAGCTCAATTTTGAGTTGCTCCTCAAAGATTATAGCCAGAGTGAGACAGAAGCTTTAGTTTCACTTGGAATAGGTCACATATCTTCTGCAAAATATAGAGTGAACCTGCAAACCTGCAGTGACCAGAAGCTTAACAATGATATTACAGATAGAAAGAGGAGATTTTCCATCACAGCTGCAGCAGCTATTGATATCCAATAGCCACCTCCCACTACCTCCTTTCAGTTCTGACCTATGGCTGAGTGTAACTTTGCTTCCAATCATTTTTGGAGACTTGCATCTGTGAACTTTCATAAACATCTCTTGCTGTTTCTTTCTACATTGTCTGGAGTGAAGTAACACTGAAAGGTTTGGAAAAAATGAGTCCAAGTGCCTTTTTTTCCATGCTTCTCTTGGAAGAGTCAGGCCAAATTACATTTGTAGAGGAATTGTTCTTTCACCTCTGTCACTACCTAATGGACATCACCTTCCTTTAGCAGAGCTCTGATGGCCTCAGACATCATTGCTGTTTCTCCATCCTGCGAATGAAGAGCTTTGTAACTTCATTACATTTCAGTCTCAAGAGAAAATTAACTGATTGACTGCTGTCTCCTGTTATCATCCAGCCCCCTGGCTGCTAAACACACAGTTTTCTTTTCATCACTGTGCAGCCCAGGACAGTCTTCCAGGGCTTAACATCTCTTTAATTACCAAGAAACGTCATGTTTCTGGACAAAGACTTGATGGACTTACTAGGGATGAGGAGAAATATTATTAAGTTTAAAAGATTATGAAAAAATGTCTTTGGAGAACTTCCTAAGATTGGCCTGTTCCTGCCAATTGACTGAGCTGCTATAAACAAGCCAACTGGTGGAGGAGTCACGGGCACGTCCAGGTGTTATTTTGAATTGTGCCACAACAACAAAGTGAAGCAACAATGAGCAAATATCCAGCCAACTATGTTGCTGCAAAGCATTCAGATAAATATGTCTTTAACATTTCTCTTCTATTTTAAAAAGTCAGCCATGCAGAAAGGGAGCCTCCAACTAATACTATAAAATCTGGGGGAAGGAGGACGAAACAGATGATGGCAGGTGCGCTTTTAACTGACTGATGTGCCTGATTTGTTTAAGTCAACACTAGCAGGCATATTATCATTTCTTTTCTTATTTGTCATTCTGCATTTGTAGCTAGTCAGGGGAGGGGCTCAGGAGACAGATGTGTAGCAGAAGAGGTATGCATTTCATCGTTCTTTTCATAGGGCTTGGAAATACTCTATCTAATTTTCTAATTGTTACTGTACAGAACGACAGATGCTTATCAAGCATGCCAGTGGCTTTGAAAGGATGGAAAGGTTCTATTAAGAGCAAGCCTCTCTCTCTTTGATACACATAATAGTAAGCCTACTTTATATATTCAGAAGCAGTGTAACAAAGAAATAGTATTACTGTTGATATTCCTCAGGGAATGGAAGAGGTGGAGTTTCCAAAAGAAAGACAGAGTAGGGATTTTGGCATTGAGGCTGATTCTCCATGACCTTTTGCAATAGCTGAGAAGGAAACAAAAATATATATATTTGCCCTGCAGTGCTTTTCCTTAAAAAACACCTCTTTGTATGCAAGTTTGCTGATTTTAAAAAAGAAACCACTCCTCAGTTGTGTTAGCTTCCATGTTGAATGAGTGCCTATAGTTGCCTTTTAAAACTCTGGATGTAAAATATAAATAACATCCAAAGGAGGCAGGGGCTGATAGAAGTTCTGGGCTCCAGCCAAATTGTCATTAGTTAAGAATACTTCTCACAGCTGCTGAGAATAAAAGCAGCATTTTTTACTTGACTGTTCCATACAGAAAGCCCAAAAGTACCTCCACAGCAGCTAGTGCTGGTTGGACAGTGAGAGGTGAGTTTGCAAATGAAAACTTGTTTAAATTCCTACCTTTCTTCTTGCAATTAAAAAGAAAAGAATCTATCCTGCGGGATCATGGTTTTGATTTATTTGTGTGTGTGTGGGTGGGTTTTTTGTTTGGTTTGCTTGTTTTTTTTGTTTTGTTTTGGTATGGTTTGGTTTTCTAATCAGCTCAGACACCACCTATAACAAAGCTGCTGACAGCCATCAGCCTTTTCCCCTTCCCAGGCCTGATTAATCCTAAAAGATGACAAGTTAGGGGGAAAGAAAATTATTCATCAGCTTTCTGTATAACCTGACCTCTGCTTCTGATCTGAAAGCCCAACACTGTCCTGCAAAACAATCTTTTTGTCACAAGAGATTTTAAATGGTGAAACAGCTCTGCATGATTACCTGGCTCCCAGTTCCCAGCATTGCCAGGGGACTGCATGTCTCCAGCGAGAAACAGCAAGAAAACACGGCAAAATCACTCACAGCTTTGCCTGGATGTAATTTTTTTTCATTTTAGATTTGGAATGTAGGATATCGAAGTTGAATGTAAAATTGCTTGGCAGTGACCTTTGAAGACATAGTTTTCCTTTTTTTAACTTCATGTGCTCTAGTTCTTTATACTTAGAACAGGCAGAAGTAGCAAACATTAAGCAATGTAACTTTTGCAATGAAATTAAGGCGGAAGATAAACTGATGACTCCTTGATGAAAGAGAAAATAATTAAAATGAAGGCCAATGGCTACTCTGCTACTGGCTTTCAGCTTTTAAACAGCAGCTCTTTTCAGCTTCCGTGTTGCCCTGACATCTCTTGGTTGTGTTCACATGAGTCTGAGCAATCACGGGGGTGTGTTTTAAGAAGTTACCTCCTGTCAGCTGAAGGGCTGTGACTAGCCCTGCAGTATATTCTTATCCTGTCCCAGTTGCAAGACAAAATGGGGTAATTTACACCACTTTTCCTCTCTCTCACTCTATCACATTTCCCATTGTCATGTTTGTAGCCGATGCCCAGCTCTGCCCTGGATTCTGCATTTTCATTTAATTACATCCTTTATTGCTGCCATCAGCAGATGGTGGGTAGCCACCTTTTTTTTTTTTTTTTTTTGCCCTACTTGTGTCTTTGCTGAATGCTAAGACATGTACACGCACTCTCAAGAAAAACCCAACCACCTCTTTCTCCTGATCTCCTCCTGTCCTTCCTCTACAAAGTTGATCTGGGGAACAGGAAAATTTCTAGTTTTGATTGCAAGATATCAGATGAGACTCCTTTCTCGTTTTGCTCTGTGAGACTGTTAGTATAAGAGAAGGACAGAAAGATAGCATTTTTTTCCTCTAAGACAGAGCCCACTTAAGACAGACAGCACATGGTCATCTGACTCTTTTAATTTTTATCGCGTTCCCTGCTGTATAGCATGGCACTGCTTATTAATATATAAAACCTGTGTAAAGCAAGAAACCAGCACTGCACAGATACACTGGGAATCCTGTGCACAAGCAAGTGCGTGAAGAAATCGGGACAGTTGTGTTCACTTGCACAGAGTTGGAACTGAGATCTATGCATGGTAGTTGCTCTGCATGTGTTTGGCTATGGTTTGCATGTGCAGCTGTACGAGGCTATTGGCAGCTGTATGAAAGCGGTGGCAGTGTGTGCGCACAGCCACACCTCTGACAGTGCCAAATACCTCATCAGACCCACCTGAGAAACCACCTTTAACCCTACGAGCAACCATTGCTACCTTATCTGGAAGCCCAGTCCCAAAAAGCAACAAATGTGAACATGGAGAGAGCTGTGGAAATCAGGGAAATACTGTGCTCACCTCATGGACAGGGGTAGGGATGCTGAGAGGGTGCCTGATGGAGCTGGACATTTACCATCTGTCTGCCACCAATCTCCTGCCTCAGCTCTTCTTTTTCTTTGTGCCGCTGGGCTTCTCCTTGTCTTGATAGAAATTACAGTGGGTTTGGGAGCTAGGGACAAAGCTTGGGGCTGCAGGAGGAATTCCTTTCAAAGCAGCCTCTGATTTTCATCATTGTCATCAACCCCTATCATGGGAAGAGGCAGCATGCAGGAACTGGGTGCTTCCCTTCACCAATTCCCCCAACCCAGTGAACCCAGGCAGCCAGTGTGCATATATTGGAGGGTTGCTTTGCTTTTAGTTCATCCTCCACTTGCTCATTATCCCTCAGCTTCATGCTTAGGTTAGTGCTTAGAAGCAAAGAAAGAAGCTTTCAAGGAGGTGCATGAAGGAATCAAGGTGGGTTTGCAGCACCTTAGGGAGATTGAAACTTGGAATCTAGGTGCCTTGCCAAATTCAAGTACATTTGGCTGGCTTTCCAAACAGGAACTGCAAGGCTTCAGGTGGGGTAAAAAATACTTGTATTGCTGAAAAAGTGAGGCAAAATTCACCTGTGAGCAGAAGGCAGACTCAGCCCCCAGGGGATGGTTTTGAGAATGCTTGTTGCTGTCAGCAACGTGTTTTTCAGTCACACTGTGCTGAGCTGTCCCCTCCTCTCTGAAGCAGAGCTGTCCTAGAAACCAGGAACCCTGTGCACTTTTTCTAGGGACCAGGGCTGTCACGATCTCCCTCTACAGCAGATATTTATAGAGGTCACTGCCTTGCTCCCAAGCTCCCCAGCCAACCCTGTCTTTTCCACTAGCAGGACAACTCCCGTTAGTTTTGAGTAGGGGAGAGACACCCTGACAGCCCTGTGCCACAGAAGGAATGTGAAAATTATCTCTTCCCACATCAAAGGCTTCAGAATTTTCCTGCTAACACACTTCCTTTTCCCTCACTGTCTCATTTTTCTTCCTTTTGCTGTTCCTGCTTCTTTTCATTCCTGCCTGTCCTCTGTCTTTCAGTTGTTGCTGTTGTTTCAGTTTTTCCTCTTTCTCCATCCTTATTCCTCCTGCCCACTGCATTTGTCTCTCATTTTTCCTTTTACCTGTATATATTCCCCTTCTTTCTTCCCCCACCCTTTCTGCTTCTGCTCCTGATTATTTCTTTCCTTCCAGCACTTTCCTCTATTTCATACTCTTGTCCCTCCACTCTCTCTTCCCCCTAATCATCTTGCTGTTCTTTGCTGCTGTATCATTTAATGCCTTCTTTGATACAGCCTACAGCTTAATGATTATTCAGAGGTCAGGCGATGCAGGTGCCATGAATTTCACTAATCCAGCTGTGAGAGCCTCTGTCCATAATCACTCCTCCCATTCTACAGGGACTGAATCCTAATTTGTCATTAGCCAGTCCTCTCACTGCAGTGCTACCAAGAACTTTTTGCCCAGAGGAGACAATGAAGTATTCATTAGCTGAGGGGAAGGCGGAGGGGAGGGAGCAGGCGGCTGAACAAGGCGTTCTGCTGAAGGCTGCTGAGAAAGGAGTCGCTGTGCTGAGATTTCCCGGGACGGTGGGAAGAAGGGAAAGGGGGGCAGCAAGGCGACATAGCAAGTGGGTTATACAAAAAGCAAATGTGGGTTACAGTGTCATTCATTAGGAGTTGTTCCAGGGCTGCAGGACGTGGAGGTGAGGGTGCTGATACAGCAATTATGGGAGTGGTGGGGCCTGGGAATGGGCAAGTGTGGCTACTTGTTAAGGGGAGATGCTCTAAGAGGAGATTAATTGCCAGCAGATTGTTTTTAAGGAGAAACTGTTCTGTCAGCTTTTTCTCCATCCACCCTGGCTTCCACCCTCTTTTCTGCTGTTACTGAGCTCTGCACCATAAGCAGACCTTACTGTTGGCTTTGCCTTATCCCATTACAGGTCTCTTTTCGGTGAATGGGGGGAATTGCCAATGATATGGAGAGGAGTTTCCTCCTACTAGGCTAGGAGTTACGCTGACCTGCAATGTCTGATAGCACCTCAGCCTCTGGCATGGCTTTATCAGCTCCATTCCCATGGTTGAACTTTGTCACTGTGGCACTGATAGGATCTGTGGCAGGAGACTGTGCCAGTCTCAGCTCCTAGAGCAGTGTGAAGAGAGAGACTTCAGATGATCAATTCTAACTTCTAGCTATTTCTTAGAGGGCTTTTGCTTTCCATCGAAGGAGTAAACAGCAGATGAAAGATATAGTGTAGAAACAGGCTGGAATAGCTTGCACATGCCGCAGCAGGGCATCAGTGTTCTGAGTGCTCTGCCTCAAATATATCCCTGAAAACACTGTGGCTCTAGTAAGACACCAACACCAAAGAGACTGTGAGGCTCTACAATGCTAATGCTTTCTTCTTCCTGCCTGCAGGACGATACAGGAATGGCTTACCCGGGTCCAGTCCCTGCTCTACTGCAATGAGAATGGGTTCTGGGGGACCTTTCTGGAAAGCCAGCGGAGCTGCGTTTGCCATGGCGGCACCAGCCTGTGCCAGCGCCCCATCCCCTGCATCATTGGGGGCAACAACAGCTGTGCCATGTGCAGCCTTGCCAACATCTCTCTCTGCGGCTCATGCAACAAGGGCTATAAGCTTTACCGAGGTCGCTGCGAGCCTCAGAACGTAGACTCGGAGCGGAGCGAGCAGTTCATCAGCTTTGAGACGGACTTGGACTTCCAAGACCTAGAGCTGAAGTACCTGCTGCAGAAAATGGACTCTCGCCTGTATGTGCACACCACTTTCATCAGCAACGAGATCCGCCTGGACACCTTCTTCGACCCCAGGTGGCGTAAACGCATGTCCCTCACCTTGAAGAGCAACAAGAACCGGATGGACTTCATCCACATGGTGATCGGGATCTCCATGCGCATCTGCCAGATGCGCAACAGCAGCCTGGACCCCATGTTCTTTGTCTACGTCAACCCGTTCAGTGGTAGTCACTCCGAGGGCTGGAACATGCCCTTTGGGGAGTATGGCTACCCACGCTGGGAGAAAATCCGCCTCCAAAACAGCCAGTGCTACAACTGGACCCTGCTACTGGGCAACCGGTGGAAAACCTTTTTTGAGACCGTCCACATCTACCTACGCAGCCGGACTCGGCTGCCCTCCCTACTGCGAAATGAGACTGGCCAAGGGCCCGTGGACCTTTCTGACCCCACCAAGCGTCAGTTCTACATCAAGATCTCGGATGTGCAGGTGTATGGCTACAGCCTGCGTTTTAACGCTGACCTACTGCGCAGTGCTGTGCAGCAGGTCAACCAGTCGTACACACAAGGTGGGCAGTTCTATTCTTCGTCCTCCGTCATGCTCTTGCTGCTGGATATTCGGGACCGAATCAATAGACTGGCGCCTCCCGTGGCCCCGGGGAAGCCCCAGCTGGATCTGTTCTCTTGTATGCTCAAGCACCGCCTGAAACTCACCAACAGCGAGATCATCCGTGTGAACCATGCTCTAGACCTGTACAACACAGAGATCCTCAAACAGTCGGACCAGATGACAGCCAAACTCTGCTAACCCGGACTTTTTGATGGACATGTTGGTGATTGATCCTTTTGCTGTAAAAAAATAAAAGAGAAAAAAAAAAAAAGAGAAAAAAAAAAAGTAAAAAGGAAGAAAGAAAAGTGGGGGGAAAGTAAAGAAAGGGGGGAAAACCAAGATTTGTAAAATGTAATTAATATACGAAAGAGGAAAAAAAAGAGGAAATTCTTCATTTGTTGAAAACTAAACCCGTTCTAGCAGCTGTGTAAAACTGTCAGGCATGTTTGTTATTTCTATAATCCGTCATAAAAGGGTAACACCTTACTCTCTCTTGACCTTGGGGGTGTTGCTTGCTAGTCCTTAGGGGCAGCAGAGTAAATAAAGGGAGGAGCAGAGAGAGGGGCAAACTTCTGTAATGAACTGTAAAGTTTTCTGCTATGCAGGTGCCAAGACAAAGAGACAAACAAAAAAAATCAAAGTGAACAAACAAATGAGAGTTATATGTAAATGTAAGAGAACTGCCATTATTCCTATAGTGGGAGTAAATGGTTAAAGATAAAAGATATTTCTTCTGTTGAGATTTATGCCAGCTTTATGTTGAGTTATTCACGCAGCCTGTGCTGAGCTTTGCTGAAGGACAGAAGGTGATGGCAGTCCTTTGAGAGTAAAACTAATGCCTCGTTGGTGAGAAGGCACATAAGAGGTGGAGGGTGGGTGCAGGTCTCGGGTGTCTTCACTTTGGAATTTCCATCTTGGAAGACTTTTCACCAGAGTTAGAGTCTCAGCATTTGCTGAAGAATGGACGTGTCAGGTCCCTTTGGCTACTTTGCTGAACTGGAGTTCATGCCCTGCATCAGACTGCTGTTGCCTTCAGTGATGTCAGAGCTTAACCCCTTGAGGATCAGCACCTGTAAATCTTCAGAGTCGCTCATCTTTAAGGTACTTCAACAGAGTCCCTAAAACAGAGAAAGCCAAAATCACATGCCACTTTGATAAACCTAGACTTAAAGGCAAACCTGAGTTTGGCTTTTTGCCTCAGGTTTTGGGTTTTCCAATAACACTGGGAAACCCTGATCACCACCAAAACCAAAGCACAATGCAAGAAAACACACTTCCAAGGAAACCTGGAGACACTGAAGGGTATACACGTCACTTTTGTTCTTTGGGGTGGGAAAAATCCCTTTTACTTTCTTATGTTTCCATGGCTGTAAAATAATATCCTTGTTTCACTTACACTTCCCTTGTCCACAAAAAAAAATACAGAAAACAGATGAGAAAATTTTATTAAAGTATCTGCAAAAGTAGTAAAAGGGGAGGGGTGGAAGAGAAAAGCACAATAACCAAATCTACCCTGAATTTGCAAGGATAAAGCCAAATTAAAAAAGGTTGAGTTGTCAAAAAAAATAACTGAACTAACTAAAAGGTGGGCAAAATTTTGTGGAGTGTGTGTTCACATGTGTTTGGATTTTAAAAAATATGTATATTGAATGGATTGTATGAATGTAGGATCATCTGAGCTGGGTGATGAAGCCTGAACACAGTGGGAGGTGAGTAGTGGGGTGTTTCTCTTAATCTCACTGGGTTTTAGTTAAAGTTGATTGTGAGACGTGCTAGTGAGAGACTAGAATTTTTGCCCTCCTAGAAGGGAGAAATAAATCTCTGATCCTGCTGGCTTCTAGAGCTCGAGGAGACCCCTGGGGAAAAACAGGCCTGAGCAAGAGGGACAGTCCTGATCCAAAGTCCAAGATTCAGATCTGACTCGAGATTTAACGTGTTGATTCAATCAAGTTCAAAGTAGTCTTGTAGAAAGGTTGACCTTATTTGGAGACCTTGGCTCAGATTCTGAGAATAACGTCAGTTCTTCCTGAAAGAGCTAAATGCATTGTGGTGTTATTTGTGTGACACCAGGGACTTAGACAATTAAGTTTGGCTTCAGGTTTAGTTTAATTTGTGTGGGTTTGGTAGATGCTCATCCAAATGGAGAAGGAATTAGATACCTTAAGGAAACTATACATTCACTGAACTCTCCTGCAGACCCAGCAGTTGAAGGCATAAGAGAAACAGTCTGGGCAGTTAGCGAGAGAACAAGAAGGGGTCCTAGTCACAAAAGCTCACATCAGTCCCTGTCTTTCTACCAAAAGGTGGCGAAGTGCACGCATCTGAAGAAGGGCTGGGTGAATTAAACAACAGTTGTTTCTAGGGATGTCCATCGATTTCCGTTGGTAGTGCCTTTGTGTTTTCCCTCACTTGCATTGAGATCTCTTTCTATCTCTACTGGTCAGTCCATGCAAGAGGTTGCAAGGTTGCCTGCTTTTCCCAGTTTGTTCATTCATTTGTTTTTCATTTGATTGGTCTTTGCTTTGTGTAGTAGAGGATCATGCTTATAGACCCCACCATTCAAAGAGGTTTCTTTATAGTTGTGACATTCCTGCATCAGCTTGCTGTTAAGAGAAAATTCACCAGCAATAGTATGCATGGAAGTTAGTTTTAAGCAAATAGTAGAGAGTATTCGTGGGAAATGAATGTCAAATTTGTAATTATGAGTGGAAATAATGTTCCTGACAGTTACATCCATCCAAGCAGGGAATAGAAATGTACTGTTTAATTTACATGTATGACCCAAAGAGCTGACACTGAAAAGAACTATAGTTATTGCTCTAAAAATACTGAATACTGCTTATGAGCAACCTATAGCCCGAGATGCAGCCTGCATTCAATGATGGGATTTGTTCATGGCTGAGAATAGTGAATGTGCTAACGCAAAGTGAAATTAATTCGATAAATTTCTTTCCTATGAGATGAGTATCCAGCTCAAGTGACTAGAAGCCAAGGAAGTTGCAAGTAAATCTCAGATCTTGTGGGTACCTAGCGACACATTAGCTAAATCTTGCCCCATATTTGTGGGACTGTTAGGGATCAGATTGGTTGCTCCCGTGTATCTTTAATAATGCCTTGGGATGCTCAGCCCCCAGTGTTACTGGGCTTCAGCAAGGGGGGCAACACTGCAAACCTTAAGCAAGACATTGGGCGCCAGCAGAACATCAAATGGCTGCTGTCCAGTTCAGCCCCAAGCAATGGCAGACAGCCGTGGAGTCAGAGAGGCACTGTCCAACATGAGCTGGCGTTTCCACCACGGCAGGTAGCAGTGAAGCTGGAGCATAGCAAACCAGTGTGGGGAGGCGGAAGGAAGTTTGGCATCGATATGCCGTCAGCGTACAGAACTTACCTAGGGATACCTGACGGTGCAGCATGGCAGCAGGGTATGATGGCACATCAACACAACAATCTGGAGCTGTGTTGCAACATGGAATGAAGCCAAAATATCAAGAATTCATTCCTTTGTCCTTCAGGGTAGGGGAAAATGAAGCTATCTGGCAGCTCAGACACCGTTTGGGCCTCAAAGTTTATGTCAGAAAAAGGAAAACCAAAACCAAACAACCCAATCCAATGTGGCCTGGGCCATGCTACACTCTGCTTTTGATGCTAGACAAGAAATGTCTACTGCAAACAGGACACATGCTCTGGTGCCACTGCTCAGTCCCATCAGCCCTTCCCCAGGTAAGAGGACAGCCTGTGACAGCCAGATCCAGAGCCATATCTCACAAGTGTGCTTTAGGGTATTTGTTCTGCAGGCAACAGGAGATCTGGAGGCATCTGGCATACTTCTGTCTTGATAAGAGAAAGTAGTTCAGATCCCTCTGCAGAGGCCACACCAGTGCTACAGTGGTGTTAATGGGCTTCTGAGGAAATTATGTGCAAATCCTCCACTTGGTCAGAAAGAGATGTTTTTACAAGACAATTACTAGAATGGACGGTAATTAATAGAGGAGAATTAGGTGAGGCCCAGAGAGTCCTTTCACCACTAAAACTAGATTCACTAAACTGCACGATCAGTAGGTATTGTTATAGAGTTTAATGACAAAAGGGACATTTGAAATGTGAGTAACCATTCTCTGACTGTACAAGAATGAAACTCAGCTTCCTTCCCCTGTATAAGGAGTTAGGGAGCAATCCATGAGGTTGTCCAGCTCAGCTAATACAGAGGTGGTCCTACCAAATCATGGCAGATACTTGTCCTTTGCTGCAATTAAATTAGAGACTGCATGAAAGCTGGATCTTCCAAATAATCCAGAGGAAAAAAACCAAAAGCCAGATGTCAGGTGTCCCAAGGGCAAAGCATGGCAAAAAGCAGCAGGTAGAACAGACTCTACCTGCTTCTTCCCTTCAAAAGCAGAAGATTTCTGGGGTCAGTTGCTTCAAGTCCCATGACAGAATATACTGGGAGCTCACTAAGAAATGTGCTTTTTTTAAGTTATTCAAATTTAGACTTACCAGCCAATGTGGCAGAAAGCAACGGACGTCAGCAAGTCTTATTAACATGCTGATGCTACAGCTTCAGAAGTGTGCAGAATGCCCATTTGGATCAGGGCTAAGAGCACAGCATGGGGTTGCCATGGAAACATGGGGAGGCCATTAATTAGCTATCACATGAAATCATCAGGAAGAATCTGGACCTCAGTAGCTTTGCCCTCCTCAGAGGCAAAGGGCATAGCCCCAGTGACCCCTCCACAGCTCCAAGAACAACCACATCCTGGAGCAGAAATGTCCACTTGGAGGCGTGAGAAGTGGGTGGACAAGTAAGGAGGAGAGGGTGACAAGGGCAGAAGGCATGGAGGTAAATAAAGAATGGAGACAATTTCCCCTCTTATTTCCCCCTCCCCAGGCTGCCTGTTTGGTCTTGCGTGAGTAACACAAGAGATCTGCTGCTCTTTGAGCCAACGGGACTTATGCCAGTGACCTCAAAGAAATCAAGACTGGCCACACCACCCTGGCGAACTCAATTAATGGAGCTAGCATCTTCTTGGGTGGGCTGCACCTGGGATGAGTGAATGCTAGTGCTCCCTGGTGCCATCCTGCTCCCCAGAGCCCTCTCTGGCCGTGCTAAGCCAGGAATCCCTTTCCCCAAAGGGAAACATGGGCACGTAAGAGAGGTTTATTGGCCACTTGCCCAGCCTCCCTCCGGAGCCAGAATCTTGTAAGCAAGCTGTGATGGACTTCAGCTGCCATGTACAGGATGTTCTTTTTAGCTTTGTAGCCCACTTG